CTAAATTTTTTTTCACATGGCCCATAAAACTAATGGGTCGGGCCTGCGTTAATTAGAGAGGTTACTTTGCAACGGGTAATTACGCCCTTGCTTCTCACTGTTATTTTGATATATAAGAATTTTTTAGGATACCACACTTTGAAATTGTGTTTTCAAAAGTACTACTATTTTTCAAATATTCCGTAAATACCATTATTTTTCAAATGTTTCACAAATACCACAAACACAAAATAGATTTTCAAGGCTTTATGATTTAAATTTTTGGATTTCGATTAACTATTGTAGAATTTTTTTTTTTTGGTCCAAGACTATTGTAGAATTATGATATAGTTTGTAGGGATATGGGTTTATGGTTTAGTTTTGAATGTTAAAAGTTAATTTTAGTTTTGTGGTACTTGTGGAACATTTGAAAAATTGTGGTATTTGTGGAACATTTGAAAAATGATGGTACATTTGGAAACAAAACTTCATTTAGTGGTATTTGTGAGAGTTGCGTATGCATGGGGCTAAAACAAATTGAACACCAACATTTATTTTATATTAAAAATATATATATTTTACATGAGATGTCAATCATTTATCATCAAAATATTGTTGACAGACTAATATTGGGATATCAAAATATAGTTTTGTAGATTTATTTTGTATTCATATTTTCTAAAAATATATACCTTTGTGATCAGGAACATAATAGTGCATGTATCGCTTTCTTTACCGTTTTTGTTATTGGAAACAAAAAAAAGGTACATGCGTGTAACCCCATGTTGCGGTAAAATTACTAATCAAACATTTATATAGACGTGGATGGGATTCATATAATATATATTCATATACAAAACATATACAAAAGAAAAATCGCAAGAAAGTTCCTTCCATGGCGGATTCAAGCTCTTTTCACCCTCCTCTTTGCGAGAGGATCTCATACAAAAGCTTTGTTGTAAGAGCAGTGGATCTCACGATTCTAGCTCTTCTCTTTTCTCTTCTCTTGTACTGGGTCCTATATATGAATCAAAACGGCACCGTCTGGATCGTGGCTTTCCTCTGTGAATCTTGGTTCTCTTTCATGTGGCTGCTTTGTACCAACATAATATGGAGTCCTGCTGAACATAAACCTTACCCAGATAGACTTGATGAAAGGTACCGTTTTCATTTAAAGGCACTATATATACAACCATATACATTGAAAGCACATATATACATTCTTTATAAATTTGTATAAAAGCTATAGCAAGTTCCTACTTAGCTCTTATTTAGTTTATTTCTACTCATTTGTATGTTTAAAATGTGTAGTAACCATTCGGAGAACAATCTTTTAATTAACTTGCCTAGTAATGATTGATTTCAGGGTTCATGACCTTCCTTCGGTAGATATGTTTGTGACCACGGCGGATCCGGTTCGGGAACCTCCAATTATCGTTGTGAACACGGTGTTATCGCTGTTAGCTGTGAATTATCCAGCGAACAACTAGCATGTTATGTGTCGGACGATGGATGCTCACCTCTCACTTATTTCTCACTCAAGGAAGCTTCTAAGTTCGCCAAGATTTGGGTTCCTTTCTGCAAGAAATACAACATTAGAGTTAGAGCTCCTTTTCGGTATTTCGTGAACCCTCTGGCCTCATCAGAGGATTCTGAATTCAGTAAAGAATGGGAAATGACCAAGGTAAATGGCTTTTTTTTTTTCTTTTTCCATTTTGTTTATGTGAACAAAGTAAGTTATTATGTTTACTTCTTTAAAAAAAAAATTGGGTTTTTTATTTTCCTAACGTTTCTTCCCTCTAAATCGAGAACTGTCTTGGAAATATTGTACTATGTTTATTTCCAGACCGATATTGGGTTAAGAGGGAAGTCCCATTTATTTTGTGTAAGAAACAAAAAACCCCAAAAAACATATTTAGCGCAATCAATTTTTTTTTTAAAAAAAAAAGAGAAACATAATAGTTTTTATTTTGTTTTTAACAATATCTGAAAATGCAAAAGCAAATGTGAAAAGCAAACTAAAAATAATTGTTTGCTTTCCGAGTTTGTTTTCACAATTTTCAAAAAATGTTTGAAAAATTAAAAATTAAATATTGTTCTCTAACAAATATAAACAAACATGTTTGGTAATAAAGTCGACAACATTTTTAGAATTGTTTGTACCTAATGAAAAAATGAAATATTGATTTGGTCTTTTTGTCATTGCTTAATTTGTTTTTGCGCCTAATTACCATTTATCTAAATATTTTTTCTTTCAAATCAACTACCACACACATTCTGAATATATGTTCTTAGCATTTCATGTTATAGAATGTTTTCTTTGAAATTGTTTATTGTATTGATATGAAGAGGGAATACGAGAAGTTAAGCCAGAGAGTGGAAGATGCCACCGAAGATTCCCATTGGTTGAATGCAGACAATGATTTTGAAGCTTTCTCAAACACAAAACCAAATGATCATTCAACTATAGTTAAGGTACTTCTATTTTTCTACAATACGATCTAAATAAAAAATAATCTTTAACCATGGTAATGCACATAACAAAAAGGGTTAATTATGTATAACATTATATGAAATCTTGCTTTACGTCTAGTAACTATATATGTGTATGTGAAGGTGATATGGGAGAACAAGGATGGTGTAGGAGACGATGAAGGGGTCCCACATTTTGTATACATTTCAAGAGAGAAAATACCAAATTACCTTCATCATTACAAAGCTGGAGCCATGAACTTTATGGTTAATGATTTTTCTCACATATCTCTCTTTTATTTATTTATTCGTAGTTCAAAGAAAGAGCATAAAATTTGTGTTAGTACGATTAATGATATTAGTATGCATTTTGATAAAATATGATTTACAAATGGAATTTAACACATGATTATACATGTAGATTTATACGTATTTTCCTGGAATGTAAGATAGTAAAGAAGAAAATGACTTATACTTCTTCTATTGCTAACTATCACTTACACAATGGTTCATATGATATGGATGCAATCACTTTTTACATTTGGTTGCATGTCACTCCACATTAATTAGTTATTGAAACCAAAGGGTGA